TTAAAGGGACTTATCTAGGAAAAAGAAGATAAAAAACATGTACAGTAAAATGACAGCAAGCTCACAATAATTAACCACCACACCTAAAACAAAACCAAAAACAAACTAAGCAAACAACTAGAACAGGAACAGAACCACAGAAATGGAGATCACATGGAGGGTTAGCAACAGGGAAGTGGGAGGAGGAGAGAGGGGGAAAAGGTACAGAGAATAAGTAGCATAGATGGTAGGTAGAAAAGAGACAGGGGGAGGGTAAGAATAGTATGGGAAATGTAGAAGCCAAGAACTTATAAGTATGACACATGGACATGAACTAAAGGGGGGGAATGTGGGTGGGAGAGGGTGTACAGGGTGGAGGGGAGTGAAGGGGGAAAATGGAACAACTGTAATAGCATAATCAATAAAATATATTTAAGAAAAGAAAATACAATAATTTTGGAACAAAATCCAAATATTCTAAGTTGAAGGGATTAAAAGTGTGTATATATATATATTTTAAATTAATTAATTAGTAGTATATACAAATATTATATACACAGGCATCTGTATACATATACTCTCAATGTTAAAAGTATACAATTATGTATATATTATGTTATTATTGTACAAGTTATTATAAGCATGTACATACATCTTATTATTTACACATCATGTTTATTAAAAGTACATGTATATGTATAGATTTCCTGATACATCTTTTGCAATTTATGGGACTTAAGAATATTAAGGTAAATATGATTTCTTAAATACCTTCCCAAATGGATGTTGACAAAGTTTTCTCTGAAGGTCTAGTCTTAGACTTTGCAGGCTACAGACTTTGTCACAACGACTAAACTTGGCCATTGTAAAACAACAGCTGCCATAGACAATACCTGTATGATAAGCATGTCCATGTCTATCTAGTATGAATGTATTTATGGATGATTAAATTTGGCTTCCATATAATATTCATGTCACAAAATATTATTTGTATTTTAATTTTTTAGTCTTAAAAATATAAACATCATTCATAACTTGAGAGATGTAAACACCAGAGAGCTGAGCCCTATGCGGCTCACACCCAGCAGTTTGCAGACGTCTGGTCTGGACCCAGCCCCACAGGATAACCCCGAGAGAGCAGGTGGATCCAGGCTGAGTGTGTTGTTAGGGTGAGTTAGGCAGACAAAGCTGTCACTCAAAGAGGCCACAGAGCACCTCTGAGGAATGTCACCTGTGATAACAATAAGTGTCCTCTATGAACTCTTTGCATGGAGGAAGAAAGGGTGGATCTAGGTTTCTGCCTGCCTCCTGAGCTTGCAAACCCCTTATATCACATTTCTCTATATTCACTATGTTTTAGTTTAGAGTGCCAGTGCTATTTCTCTGCCTTCCATCTTGTTGGTAGGAAAGGGAGAAGGGAGATGGCAATACTTTTATACATTGTTTTCCTAACCCGACCTACTAGCATCAACAATGGTGATAACAGGTGCGGAAAATGACAAGTTCTTAACAGAAAGAAGGCTAAATGAAGATCAGAAGATCTACTTTTCTATCCCAGTTTGTAATTAACCACCATTGTGAGCTTGCAAACATTGCTTAAAGTTTCTGAACATAGGTTTACTTATCTGTACAAGAAGAATCTTGGAGATTTGTTCTAACAGAATGAACAAATGATAGTTCTTCTTATAAACCTCACTTTACTGAGTAGCCTTAAGGTAGAGAGTAAGTATGAAAATTATAGAAATGTATGTTAAAGTTGGGGGGAAATTAAACTGTAAATTCATATTTGCATTTTCATATTTAGTGAGTTTCACAGTAAATTATTTTAAACATTGAACTACATACTTTTTCTTATGTTTAGCTTTCTGGAAGCATCCATAGTGTATCTAGTTAAGGGATCTCTAACCCTGGCTGTGCTGGGAACCAACCAACAGCCAACCCTTGACACAGTTGGGACGGATGAGACACATCTGCACAGCAGAGGTGACTGTGGCTGGATCTCCTGTCTGTCTCCTCCTGTATGCCTGTCCCTGCTAGCAATAGGTGGTGGCATTTTTAGATATCTGTGCTTTATAACCAAAAATCTGCATGATGCCTCTGGTTCTGCATGAAATGACTTGCTGACCACAGAACAAAAATTCCTAACAACCCTAATGCTGCCTACTTCCCCCACCTGGGAAGTTAAGGACAAAATTAAACTATGGGCAGACCAACTGCCAGAACGCTGAAGAAAACTTCCTGGGAATGTTCCTTAAGGAGTCACCACTTAAAAGCTCAAGATTTATTAGAGCCACTACCCTTCCCATACCCTGGACAGGAGTGTAAAGAAGCAAGGAGTTCTAGTTGAATATAATAATCTTAATACATGGAAATGAATACAAAACATGGCTCCCCCAAGATATATAAATCAAAAGACCTAGGCAAGAAAGAAACCAGTTACCTAACCTAGACAAATTAACCTCAACAGACAATAGCTAATTTCTATATAACCTATAAATCACCCCTTGCACCCTTCTAACTTAGACCAATCCCTAGACTCTTAGTAGACACCTAGTTACTCATTGACACCTGAAAGTTTGTGCCTGAATAGCTCCGCTGGCCATCTGATTGATAACCCTCTTGGTCAAAGTAACCTTTGTTTAACATGATTGATCTGTAAAACCTCCTGCACTTTTCAAAGTTATTTCTATGGTAACTGTTTCTGTTTTAATAATCACACTATGCACCTGCTCCATTGAGTGCCGTATAACCTCCCCTACAAAAATAAAGATGGATTCTTCTCGGAGAGTCCGTCAGGACTAAAGAGCCTGGCTGTTCCCTGGCCCCCACCGGGTGTCTCACTCCATTCACTTCCCCTGAGCTGTTCCTCCTTCGGGGACCTTGAGACCCGCTGAGGCTGGACCCCTGCATGGCCCATGGCCGGGTAGCTCAGTTGACTAGAGTGTCATCCGGATACCCCAAGGTCGCTGGTTCAATCCATGCCAGGGCACATAAAAGGAGCAACCAATGTATGCTTAAATAAGTGGAACGACAAGGCAATGTTTCTCTCTCTCTCTCTCTCTCTCTCTCGCTATTTCCCTCTCTCTCAAATCAGTAAATAATTTTTTTAAATGTTTAAAAAGGATCACTGGTTTGCATCTTTTTCTTTGAATAAAAAGAGAAGAAACACATTTTTTAAAAAATCTGTAGATTAAGCCTTTGAACCTGCAGATGGTGCTATAATCCCATTTTAAAATTCAATTTTGCTTTGTAGTTTAAATTCACAGGAAAAATATAGGTCTTTAGTTTCTTTTTATCCAGAGGTAAATAATAATAATTGAATTATTTCTCTTTACTTTTGTGCTTTATGATTATAATAGGAGAAACTATTTTTACCATTAGAATAAAAACGACTGCAATTACTTTTTGTTAACGTTAAATGCTTCTTTTGATGAAATAATCACTTTTATGTTTTTTTCCTTTATATTGTTCTGCTTACCCTTCAGCATCAGTTTTTCTGTGACCCTCAACCAACTTACTTTGCTGTTGCTGTTCTTAATAAAATTGCTTCACTGGGAATTGGATGACGAAGAGATAAGGATAAAAAAATTCCATATGAGAATCATTTCAAACTCTCGTTTGTAATAATCAGATCAAAAAAGATTTCCTGGAATTAAGCCACAGGAACTCTGGCTTAAATCAGAGCTGTCAACTGGAAAACAAATTTCCAGACATTTTGAAATTTAATTTATTTAATTTTCCTTGTAACTGAATTAGAAGTATGATTAAGCATAGCAGGATTTTCTTTTACTGGATCAGTCTGACTCTGAATAAAGCAAATAGATACTAAAGTCTTAAAGTAGAAATAAAGAGGCTTTCAAGTTGTTCTCCCTCGAGGAACTTAAGAACAAAAATGAATTAAGACTTTATACATTTAAAACATTTAGTACTTTATACATGTAAAACCAAAAAAGAACATATGCAGTGGAAATTTTAAAAAGTAAAAATAGCATTTTACTTTCTTGTCCATGGAGTTGCTCACTTGGCTGTATTTTCATCTCAAACTCTGGTTAAATGTGTGCTGAGCTACACCGAGTTAAAGACTCACAAATAGGACTTGGGCCCATCAAAGCACAGCGCACCATCCATGCTTTCCAACTCGTTCTTTGCAGCCACCTGTCAAGTGACTGAGTTGAAAATGTTCCAAAGCCAGTACGGTTGTAGGTGTGTGTTCAGGGATAAGGGAGAAACAGTAATTCTGTGTAACAAAATTTTAGAAAAGTGATTACTACAACTGTTAAAAATAAAAAATATTAAGCCCATTGACAGACTGATAATATAGTTTTGGAGCTGTTTGATATTATGTATGCGAAAGGGCACTGGGAATAACTGTATCCCATGCAAATGGAAAATAGTAGTGCTACTACCACATTTAACAACAGTGTGCATATTATACTGGGTAGGAGCCTTTTGAAACTTTTATGCTAGGATTACTTTCAACATAAAGAAATTATAATAACAGAAGAATTTAAAAAATTGCTTCTAGAAGCTTTTAAAGTTAGAATAGATCTCAAAAAAATCACATAAATTAGGATGTACATGAATAGCATAAAAAAATAAATAAAGACCTTAGGAGAATTGATGCTTTGTAGTAAAAGAGAATTATACATTTGGAAGCATAGTACACATAAGTGTCTGTTGCTTTTTTAAATCCATTGTTGCCCATAAAATTTCTGAAGGAACCTCAGTGGCCCTGGCTATAATGCAAATTCATTTGCTTATATCAGTACTGATAAGTAAAGATTAAAATACTTCCCATTAAACTTGGTAGCTGTTTTTTTTTAAAAAGCAAATTTCCTATATTTTGTGTCTTGAGGTTACTCACTATGTATAAATCAGAAATAATGACAATTAAGCAAGTACCTCCAGTCCTATTCACCCAGTGGGAGTACAGCTGTGACGTCTTTCAGAGCTTTGTGATTGCTCAGCCCGAAGTACAAGCCCTATAAAACGATGGGCTTTGAAATGCTGGCCAGGGTAGAGCGAAAAGCAGCTGCTGGTGACAATACCCAACCCTGAACCAGTATCAAGTTCTGGTTCAGCTCTAAGGACAGAGAACTTGTGGAGACACTCCGGGCCTCACAGGACTTCAGCACCTGAGACAGCTCCAGCATTCTGAAGAACAGAAGGCTCACGGGGAGCACTCCCAGGCAAGGTAAGTGCAAACGTGGGCTTTTTTTCTGTTTAGCTCTCTCTGCCTCTGCAACTTTTCTCAGGGCATGTTGCATTTTTCCCTCTCTGGGAAAAAAATTTACAGTGTTATTTCTTTATAAAAACAAAAAGACAAGTTTCTCAGTCACCTGGTAAGCATAGAAGTGCCTCAAAATCTCACATATGAATGAGTTTTGTGAGTTTTTTTTTCAGCTGGAAATGTCTTCCCTTCTTGCTCTCTTCCTTAATACTGTTTTAAAATGATGTATTCAAGTGGGATTTTTTTTTGCTTATATATACATTTTTGACTGAAGTGTTCAGTGGGTACATTTTTTGAAGCTTTCAACTTGTTTTTTAAGTACTGTTCTTTCTATGTCATAGGTTGATTACATGAAACTAGAAAGCATTACTTTTCTCCTTATTTTAGATTTAATCCCATAATTTTTATAGACAGCAAGGGAACAGACCTTGAAGTCATAAGTTTCCATCTACAAAGTATCTAAAGTACAAATGTGTAAGTAGATCAAATGCTTTTAAAAAACAGCTTTTAATATATTTTTCTTCTGTGGCAATTATAGTGTCAATGGTGATTTATAATTCAATGACTTTTGGTATTAATTTTTAGCATTTATTGCATTAAGTTGTTCAAACTCAGGCTTAGGAAAGTATGTTGCCAGTACCATCTACAATGAAAACAGGAAACATATCCATATAGAAAATAATTGTATACTGTTAGATATATACATTTTTAGGTACATGTACATTATTAAGTATACAATAACCTATTATATATTAATCAGATGCAGAAATTTAAGTCTAAGAGTCAGGCATTTTGCTGAAGTTGTTTCCTCTAGTTAGAAAAGATACTAAAACTGCATGCTGCTCCTTTGTCATAGAAAATGGTGGCAGGGTTATTTCCAGCACTGTGAGGGCATGCCATTCCTATGTACTCAGGCTAATATGTTCTGTGCCTCTGAGAGAGAGGCAGCAGTTGAAAAGGATCCTCATTTTTATTCCAGCACCTGTCCATAAAATCAAGAGAAATCTTCTTCATTTTAAAAGTAATAATATTGCAGTTTAACTGTTTCTATAAGATGAACATTACTTTTCCCAAACTCTCTGCAAGAGCTTTCAGAATTTGTTAGACACTCAGGGCTACCTGGGTGGTGATGCCCGTGGTTGGAAAGGCTGATGTGACTGTCTCCCTTTCAATGTACAGAGATGGAAACCAAGAGGAACCACCAGCTCCTCCTGCTCCTGACCCTTTGCAGCATGCTCTTCTCACAAACAGTGGCGTGGCTTCCTTTGGGAGACCCTTCTGCTGTAGGGTAGGTTCTCTTCCAATTCAGACAGTTGAATGGTCCTTCTACATCAAAACGTGAATTTTATATCTGTTATTTTGGACAACTTAATTTTAAAAAATTATGTACCCTTTATTAAACATTTGGTTGATATATTAAAGAAGCTTTTCCAACATCAGCAAGCTTTTCCAACATCATGCAAGTTTTTGCATGATTTTTTGCTTCCTGAAATTGCCTCTGAGGGCATGACAGACAGTGTCAGTGACCAGTTTTATGGACAGGATAGTTCACCTTTCCAAACAAGGTGGAAGGAAAATTTGACTTTCTACTCATTCAAAGCCAGTTTTAGATAAGCAATGAGCTTCTATGCAGTGTCATTTCAGTTTAGATCAGTATCTGATAGAAAAATAGGTATTTAGTTGCCTGTCCCATTTAGTTTCTTTTAAGATCAGTTGGTAAATAATCATAAGTTTAGTGTGTGTGTGTGTATATACATATGTACATAGATACATATACATACACACACATATATATATATATATTCATGTTGGAGAGAACTATCTATGCAGAATTAATTTGCTGGAAATAAGAATTGCGAATAATTGGTCTACTGAGACACCTTTGCCCAGTGAGTGAATTTTAATGTATATGGTTTTGACCATAAACCCTCAAGTTTTACTGTTCTCTATGTGGTGTTTCATATTTCAAATTCATAGAATATAATGCAACTCATTTAAAGCTTTATCTGAAATAAAATAAATTTATATTTAAAGAAATACATAGTAAATGAAAACTACAATAGTTTGATCTTTCATTCCAGTTTATCGGTTTATAGGCATCACTATATCTAAAGGCAAAATTGTCATTTTGTTTTTGCTTAGTTTTTTCATTCTTTCATTCAGTTCTTTGCTGAATGTAGATTTATGCTCAGTAGAGTGAATAATCTCCTAACTCTTGATGTTCTTCATGAAGTCCGCTTAAAGCCAGATCTATGTAGCTTTGATACTAAACAGAATGATTCTGGCTGAATGATTATGTCACTACAGATGAGCAATCACAAGAATGCTGAAGTTTGCACCCATTGCTAGGCTTCATATTCAAAGAGGACTGCTTGTTCCTGACTACCAACCACCATATCACCAAAGATACACAAGTGCCCAGAAGCCAACACATTCCTAGGGGTTTACCCTACCAGAGAAAATATGCATAGACATAATTTTCATAGTGTGCTGGTGTTCAAAATGTGTATGCATTTATAAACACTGTCATATTCCATATATAGGCAACACTATACTTAGACTTTCAAGTGAAGCATTGCACATCATTTAGTAAAACACATTAACACATTATCACATCAGAGTAGAAGTCAGAGACCCCACAAAATTCATGGAATTGGACTAACTACTCAGAGATGGATGCTTTGGACTTGATCAATACAGAGGAATGTATCACAATAAATGATACTAAACATCAACAAACATACAAATTGGTCCCAGTGTTCACGTTGAATAGTAAAATTTTCCAAAGTGCCTAATTGTATTAAATTCTTCTACTTGTGAAATTGAACTTTGCAACATGTAGATATTATGGAGGAAGTGTACTTTGTTTAGTGCTGTGATAGTATTGAACTGAGTAGCTTTCATACTTGATGCATACAGGTTATAAAAGTTACATTGTGTCTGTTTTGGGCATAAATTAAAAATTATTATTTACACTCTCAAAAACCATAGAATCCAGTAAATCAGGTATAATACATACAGTGAATAGGTGATACTCCCCAAGATTCTGAGCATCTTGTTTAAAATGACTGTGAAAACATGAGCACAACCTTCTGAGAAAAGAATGTATTGTATTTCACTGTACTTTTTTTCTAATATGTTGTGGGACAGAATACCCTATGAAGGAGCAAATGAACCTGATCAAGTTTCATTAAAATCAGACACTGACATCTTGGAAAACGCATTAGCTGAAAATGACACACCTTATTATGATGCATCCAGGTGAGTTCATTTTTATGGTATAGTATTTTGAAAACACATTCTTGAAATAAATGTTTTATTTTTATGTCTCCATGAAGCCGTTTCTACAGTATAACTGTACAAGTTTCCACATGTCACAGTTTCACCCAGCCTGATTTATTGCTGCTTGTACAGCTGGTCACCAGCTCCATGTAGAGAGGTTGTAACAAGCCAGGATGAACTAATCATCCTCTTGCATTCTGTTGCACAAAATGTCAACAGGAAAAGTTGCACCAATTCTAATAAAACATTAGTATTTAGGGTTCTAGCATAGAGAAAGTTCTAGGGACGTTTCTAGAGGAAGTTTCATGTCTAGGTACAGAAGAGATGTCTAATAATAAAAGCTATTAGTCACAGAGAGATTTGTCAAGAGCAATATTTGAGTGTAGACAGAGTAGCTCTCCACTGAAGACAAAATACAAAAGCTTTTTTATTTGGAAAGAATAGTTGGTTGGTAAGCCCCAAGGTCCTCTCTATTCTAAGAGATTTTGTTTCTAATATTTTGGCAGAAGAAATAGCAGAAGGATAATAGGTTTTCTTCCCCTACAAATCAGGATTGTTTCCCTTTATATCTATCTTTGTTAAAGATAGTAGTAATAAAGCACCATGAATAAATAGAGAGTAATTTGTTATATTTCTCCCACCAATATTTTTAAGAGAAGAATTAGTTTTATAGACTTTATCAGACAGCATTATTTAATGTTAAGACATACTTCTACAAAAGCTAATTTCTTTAAGTTTTATGAAATTTGAGGTTGAAAATATAGGATATATTTTTATATAAATGAGAAGAAAATACATTTTATGAAATTACTAGGAAATCTCCTTTGAAACTTAAATTTTTATGAAAAGATTTCATAAACTTTTTTTCTTTTGTATGCTTGACATTTATTTCTTCAAAATACATTCTTTTTTAATTTTGTATTATTGTCGAAGTACTGTTGTCTCCATTTTCTGCCCTCCACCCCACCCATCTCACCCATCCCTGCCTCCTACCCTCTATCCTACCACTTTGGGCTTTGTCCATATGCCCTTCATACATGTTCCTAGATGGCCCTTTCCCCTCCCCCCCCATTATTCCTCTAACTCCTCCTCTTTGTTTACTGTCAGTTTGTTCTTTATTTCAGTGTCTCCAGTTATATTTTACTTGCTTGTTTGTTTTGTTGATTAGGTTCCTCTTATAGGTGAGATCATATGATATTTGTCTTTCACTACCTGGCTTATTTCACTTAGCACGATGCTTATGACTTTCTCTCTTAATGACAGAGTCAAAATAATACTTTAGAAAACCATTTTCAAAATAATGGCTATCCTTTCTTCTCTGTTTTAGGAATGCCAGACATGCTGATGCAGTTTTCACCAATGACTATAGTAGACTCTTGGGTCAAATTTCTGCCAAAAAATACCTTGAGTCTCTTATTGGAAAACGATTTCGGTAAAGAGGATTTATTATTTTTATTAAACACAATAGGATTATTTAATCTGAGAATTATACTTACATTGTTACTAATTTACTGATTTTGTTGCAAATGTATATATAACTTTTACAATGTTCAATTTAATTAAAAATAATTTATATTCTTCAATAAAACATACCAATACCATGGATTAAGGAAATAAACCTTTCTGTTAATAAAATTCTCACTGGTTTCTGATATACTTAATTTTTTTAGTAGCAATCATTTGTAAATCTGCAATTAAATTGCAGTAGACACAAGAAAAAATAAATAAGATACAGTTTAAACTAAAGCAAATTTTAGTGTTAACCACAGTACTTGTTTTCTAGCTTCCTGCTCAAACCGAGCATTGGAAGATTCTTTCCTGAAATGGTGAAAGTGTGAATAGTTAGATGGCACCCTTCAGGTGGCATAGCATCTAAAGAAGCATTCATGTATAAAGAACTTCTCCTCCCAGAATGCAACTTCAAATATCCCCCTACTTTTTGACAAATTATTTGCTCAGTAAATACAGAATATGTCTTAAGACGCTCCCAGTAAGTGCCAAAATATGTTGGATTGTTTTTCACTCTCTTATCCTTAGACTCAGGTATATTTTTCAGTGCATTTTTTGTGACAGAAAGTGAGTTGGGTGTTAAAATTAATTTTTGTACGACTATGAGAATATTGGAACTTTGGTGTATTTATCCTTTCTTGTTAGAACCCTTTGATTTTATTTTTCTCCCATTTCTTAGCAATGACATCTTGGAAGACCAGGTGCCAATCAAACGCCACTCGGATGCGGTCTTCACTGACAACTACACCCGCCTTCGAAAACAAATGGCGGTGAAGAAATATTTGAACTCAATTCTCAATGGGAAGAGAAGGTAAAGATACAGAAGAATTGCTGAAATGAGCAATTATAAACTATTTTAAGAACAGCAGCTACACAATGGAGACTTAGCTATCTGTCTATCTTTCTATCAATCTATACTCACAAGCGTATTTCTCAACCTTGGCTGCCGTTAGACGACCCAGAACTTGTTGCTGGGAAGTTAGTGCCTGTGTGGATATGGCTCTCGCCATTGGTTTTTCCCAAGAGCTCCCTGGTTGACTCGGTTGTGCCTCCAGGGTTAGACATGAAGACTCTGGAGGCATCTAGTTGAATCTAGAGACAAGTTGTATCAAAAATGCTAATATGCAAAGCATGTAAAGTGCAGTCAGTCAGCAATTTGGTATCACATGGAACTCCCTCTACATGCATTCAATTCTTATTTACCAAATTAAGCAATAGGTTCTTTTGTCTTCTCAGATTCTATAAATCTGTGACTCTCTGGGTTATGTGGATTTGGGAGCACAATAAATAGAAAGTGGGCTGCTGTCTCTTTTAGTTTGATTATTTTTGCTTAGATGGTGAGTACTAAGGCCTAAATATAGTGGTTGGTATGGGTCATACAAGATGACTCTCTTTGCCCACCAGATTTAGAATGTGTAAGGATAATTTTAAACCCTTTAAAATGGAAGAATCATTTATAGGTAAGAACTAACCTAGACAATAATTATTTAGCCCTCCAGAGCACTTTACAAGGCACAGAAAATAGCCTAGATCACACAGTATCATTTCTTTAAATGCTTTTTCATCTAACAGCCTTAACATGCACTTTTTTTTTTTACAGCACTGAGGGAGAATTGCCTGACTTTCTTGAGGAGCTAGAAAAATGATGAAAAGGGTCTTTGAGGAAAGCTGGCAACAACTTCCCAGTGGTGGGTATATCTGTGCATTCTTTACATGTTTTTATAGGAACCATCTAGTTACTTGAGTAAGTAAGAGTCACTTGTTAGGAAATATCTTAGACTTTTCACAATGAGGCCTCATGTAAGAGGGACACTTCTACCTGTAGTGAACTGCAACCCAGTAAAGAGCTTAAAATGATTCATGCAGAGTTCTGACTGCTTAAAAGAGAAAATCACAATGAGTAAACAGATCTGTATGTCCTAGTTTATTCAGACATATTCTTATCCCTCTGTCAGGATATCAAATGGAGAAGACTGACTCATACTAATGAGAAAACCTGGCTGTCTGAGAATCAACCTAGGTTGCTTTTATTAAGGTTTTGTTCCACGATCGACTGCTAGCATCTCATTTAATTTAAGTATAGGGAAATGCCACCAAATCATGGTAAGGCTTGTTATTATCAAAATACAGGGCACTCTGGGTCTAAGTGTGATCCCTGAAACCTAGCAAGCATCATGCAGCAAAAGTGAAATTTACCTTTTTCTTTACCTATAGAGTGAGTGTAGGTACTATGACTCCAATACTATTCACTGTAAAATACTTTTTTGAGTAGAGAAAACATGAATAGGTTTTTCATTTGTTAAGTCATCAGCTTGCTACCACAATTGCTTTTATGTGTATAAGTCATATTTTTCCTGAGTGCAGTAATGCATACATTAGCTCATAAAAATGTACTTCTGATACTTGGCCAGTGCTTAAAGAAATTTCACATCTTAACTACCTGAGGTTAGCTAAATTTTTCTTAAAGGCTATGGAGTAAATATTCTTGGTTTTGCAGTCTCTGTGGTTTCTGTTAAAAATATCTCTGCTACTGTAGTGGGAATTTGTCACAAAAATATGTAAAATGAATGGGAGTAGCTGTGTTACTATAAAACTTTCTTCATAAGCCTATCACATGTAGATAGGCTTGACTACAACCCTGAAAAAGTGCAGAAGATTGAACTAGACCCAAGCTCAGACTGAGTGTATATAATTCATTGCCTTGCTTCACTTCCTGGTTTTCACAAGAGTCCTCGCTTGTGGACAGGGTGTCTGGGGAGACACCTGCACAGCTGGTCACTTGTGTCCACTGATCACCCTTCACTCCTAAGAGGCACACGTGGTCAGCGGCGCTGCACATGCCCACCCATGGTCACAGATGGGCATTTCAGAGAAATGAGTCTCTTTGCTAAAAAAAGAACAGTAATCTCACATAGCTTCTTGAAAAAAATACTTAGAATAAGAAGGCTTCTCTGATAAATTACATAGTGCAGCTGGCACCAAAACTTAATAGAGGTTTAATCATTCTGTCTTTTCCAAATTAGAAGATTATTTATGAGGTTCTTCCCTTTATTCTTTTCTTTTTTTGAATGGGTATCTTTGGACAAATTCTTTTAACATGAAATCTTGTGGGTCAACCATTTGTGAAAGTTACAAATGGGTAATTATTAATAAATAACTGCTTGGGGAGTCCCTTCACATCCCAGTTCTCTTTCTGACAACTGGGCCCCTGGAAGATGCCCTCCTGGTATCACACGACATGATCTCCTGTCACAGGCTGCTGGCAAGGGCCACAGAGAAGTAGCTGTTTATCCAATAAGTGTATAAGTGAATGAACTTACGATGCTGTAAATAAAAATATTTTATGCTTATATACTATTTTTTTCTTTTCCAGAATTCTTGAAGCAAAATGATAAATGGAGCAATTATGTTTTGAGTTCTACATAAGTAATTCAAGCAAACATCTTCAATATCAAAACCAAATAAAGTGCTGTGTTGTGAAAGTTGTGATTTATTTTAAGCTAATGTAATAACTGTGTTGCTTACGTTACAAATATTATTTGAGAGATCTTAAACTTGTCTTTAACTCGTGAAAATCCTGTAATTTCATATGCTGTATATCCTTTATAACACAAATATATTTAATGATAAGAAAATACTAGGCTAATTCTAATTATGTGAGGCTTTTTGGAAGGGTGGTAATAGAGCAAATTGATGTGTTTATTTATAGAGCTTCTTTAAATATTCAGAAGAGTGGAACAGATGATCAGTGTGTCCAAATTTGAACGTTAAGCGGATAGAATGCTGTGTTAAATAAACCTCATAATGTCTAAGAGAATACTAACCAAGATAAAAAGTCATTCTTCAAAAAACAGATTTTTTAAAATGTTATGTGATTCCACATGTTTAGGCAGCCTTCATTTTGAATGGGATTAAAAACCTCACAAGTTTGTCTCTCTAACTGCCTGAGGCTCTCTTCTGACCTATTGTTTCAATGAAGGAGAAGGGTCTCTCCTTTGGACATTGGACCTGGGCTTTATGCTTGTGGAAAGTATGTGTAGAATGTAAACTGAGGGGAACATTTGTTTTTCAGAGATAGATATTTTTTCCATAATCATTCAAATAATGCTTTGGTCACACCAGCTTCTATCAGTGCGAGTACATTTGGAGACACCACTATTTTTCCAAAATGGTTGTAAAAAATTAAATGGAAAATAAAGATGTTTGATTATCATTGCACACAATTTCTGTTGTTTTGATTCTTAAGGGGACACAATAGTAGCTAATTTTAGCTCTAAAATTCTAGGCACTAGACAGTTTTTTGTCATGTTCAAAGTAGAGTTATGTTTGATTTTATGTGAGATATAAAAGAGAAAAGGCTGGAATATTTCCAAAGTAAATCACCTGAGCAACTTGAAGGATAGTGTTGCTATAAACTGTGATGAAAAAGATGGGGAAAAAGTCTGCAGAGCAAGATGAGTTTAGATTTGGACATTTTAAAGGTGATTTTGAACAGAGTTGAAGATATACACAAGGAGTTTTGAGGAGATGCTGGGCTGGAGGTAAACAGTTGGTAGATTTCAGTATGTAGACAAGATTCAAAGGCACAAGTCATGAGAATATTAAGGGACAGGATGTTGCTAGAAAAATATGTCAACACCTGACCCCTGAGTGTGTTCACTTACTCGGGCTACCATAACAACATACAACAAACTCAGTGACTTAAACAACACAAATTCATCGTCTCACAGTCTGGAGGTAGATGTCTGAGACCAAGGTGTCTGCGGGGATTGTTCCTTCTGAAGACCGTGAAGGGGTATCTGACCTCTCCGATTTCTGGTAGTTCCCCGGCAATCTTTGGCTTAGAGAGGAATTGCCTTGATTTCTGTTTTAACTTTCACACGATGTTGTTCTTGCTTGTGTATGTGTGTGTGTCTCTGTGTACATCTTCAAATATCTTCTTTTTAGATAAACACTAGCCAAATTGCATTAAGGCTCATGCTAATAACCTCATTCTAATTTCATTACCTCTGTAAGACTATATCTCTAAACAAAGTCACATTTTGAGGTATCAGGGGTTAGGGCTAACATATAAAATTTGGGGAATCAAAATTCAACCCATAACTCTAAGGCACTCCAACATTAATGACCTGGGGTGTTGAGGAACAACTAGGGTAAAAAGGAATTAAAGAACCAGCTTGTGAAATGGGAGAAAATTAGGGAAATGTGTAGCTCCAGAGAAGCAGTAAAGGAAGCCTTTCAAAGAAGAGGGCATGTTTAACAGATTTATAAGCTGCTGCTACATAACATAACGTTTACTCATTGGTTTCTTAAACTAGTATTTCTAAGGAACCTGCTCTGTGACCAGTACTGTTCTTGGTTCTGATGATACAATAGTGAACAAAACAGACACAAATTCTGCTCATTGGAGCTTACATTCTATTGAGAGAAACAGATGATAAAATACTTAAGGGAAAATACATGTTGTGTTTGAAAGTAAGACGCTCTAAGAAGAAAGATTAATGCAGGGAAAGGTGATATTAAGAGTTCAAACAAAAGGTTGAAATTTCACATGAGGTTCCTAGAGAAAAAGCTCACAAGAAAGTGAATTTGAATAAAGCCCAGAAAGAAATCAGTTGTGAGTCTCTATATAAAGATCATTCTAGACAGAAGGAATTCCACACGCAAAAAGCCCTCAGGCTGGGGCATACTTCATATCTGGAGGAGCAGAGAGGAGGCCACTTTGGCTCAGGTGCAGAGAATGGTTAAGATATAATATCAGAGGCCAAGCCAGAGAGCTTGTGAAGAATCAGAGCACATGCAGCATTATAGGTCCCATTCTGCCTGGCTCCTCTCAATAGTCAAATTTTCCCTACCTCTTGGCTTTCAGAAATCTAGCCCTGAGCCACAGCCAGTGCTGAGATTTCTTGCACTATTGTACTGACCCTTTCCCGGAGCTGCCTTATACTTTTCCTCACCTTGTCTGTGAACATGGCCTTTGCCTCTGTGGACCCTGAGAAAAAAGATATCTACCCAAAGGGCTCCTGATGGATTAACTGGGCTCAAATTTAAGGAAGGAAGGAAGGAAGGAAGGAAGGAAGGAAGGAAGGAAGGAAGGAAGGAAGGAAGGAAGGAAGGAAGGAAGGAAGGAAGGGAAAGAAAGAAAGAGAGAAAGAGAGGGAGGGAAAGAAGGATGGAGGGAGGGATGGAGGAAAGAAGGAAGGAAGGAAGGAAGGAAGGAAGGAAGGAAGGAAGGAAGGAAGGAAGGAAGGAAGGAAGGAAGGAAGAGTCTAGTAGTCACTTCTACACAGAGGCCTCTCATGCAAACTATAAAACTACATTTCAGGTAGAAGCTTGCCCTGAACTACCTGCCTCTGCACTGAAATGCCTGCCTGCTCTGTGTTCCTGCTATCTAAGCCAGCCAATTATGGAGGAGTTTCTGGAGTTCTATTTCTATTTTCAATTGCATAAGTGCAGTTATAGCTGCATCAGCATCTTCACTGGCCAATTAGAGCAACTCCCATATGACCAATCAGGACAGTATCTTTTGAACCAATCAAGCTGTGAGTATTTCGAGTCCTCATTTGCATGAGGATGGACTCATCAGGAACCAGAAGCAGGGACTTCTAGCTATTTAAGCCAGCTCCCCTCTATCAGAAGAAGCACATTTTTTTTCTTTCCACGAAAGACTGAAGATTGCATTTCCAAGGTCAAAGCTGAAACATCAAAGACGAAACACCAAAGATGAAACACCAAAGATATCTTGCAGGAACAGCTCAGAGCAGAGCAGAGCTGTGTAGCATGAGAGGGGTGTGGTCCCAGGGCCTTGCTCTTTTCGCAGTCCTGCACCATCACCTTTGAGCTATTTGCACTAAGTTTTCCTACTTCACTGCACCCCAAATTGCGGATTCCTGTTGGCATTGAATTGACACCAAAGACCATCTGCTGAAACCCTTCTTTTCCCTTCAGTGTTCAGATCTCTCTTTGGAACCTGAGCTCTGTCTGGGACTGGACAGAATTTGCTAAGGGTAAGAAAGACTGCATTGTGATTGCTGGTCCCATTCTGAGCAGACCATGCTATTTCCTTCCCTTATGACAATCTCATTTCCCAATGTTCCCTCCCTTCAATTTGTTCTCCCTTTTTTCCCTGAAAGGTCTTTGCAGTTGCAACCTAATTCTTTCTCATGAGTTACAAAAAGTGGAAATTTCTGAGGGGGTGGAGGGTGGTTTTTGCTACGAGAATACCTACCATTTAACAGATCAGGATATTGTGCCTGAAACAAAGCAAGCAGCTTCTTGAGCAATAATTTCTTTTTTTATTTTAATTGTTGTTCAAGTACAGTTTTCTGCCTTTTACCCCCATCTCAGCCCACCCCCCCAGGGGTGGGCCTTAGCAATAATTTCTAAAGTGAGAATCTTTAAAGGTACTCCTTGATTCATGAATGACTTAGATCTTGGTTTAATGTATTATAATATATTACTCCAAGTTTATTATTATTATTAATTATAATAAGTATTATAATATACTTAGTATAATTTAATATAATTAAATATATTATAATATAATGTTATAATTAATTATAATGATCATTATTATTATTGCATAATACTCCAAGGTTAATGTATTGTACTATAATACAATATTCATCTCAGTGTTTGATCCTTGAGTGGAGTATTTTCTGGGGCTTTGACACTTCTGACTGACTCTGGAAAAGAAGAACTTTTATTTTTAATGTGGCTTACATTTGCAAATTAATATCTAATATTCAATTACCAACACAATTTCTCATAATGTTATTTTAAGCAGCCAGCAGTACATTAGTACATTTTTGGTTCACCCTGTAAGAAAACTACATATGTGACTATTAATATTACCATATACTACCTTAATGTTAAACTAGTGCACACATACCACGGTTTCTGGGTTGCAGGCACAGACTCCATTCTACAGGCTATCTCAATACAAGAAACTGGGGATTCCCCAGTAATATCTATAAATAACTAAGAGCCATTGGGGATGAACATTTTAAGAGACCTAGGTTTTAGAAAAAGACACTCTAATTATTTATTTTGCCTATATTTGTTTGGTGCTCCACACTCTCTGGTGAACTGATAGTGGCTGCAATTGTCTGAAAGGAGAGACGGGAAGAGACACATTAAAAGCATCTGCTTTTCACAATCCTGTGTTGACAGCTTTCTCTCCCTGACTATTGGGAGAAAACAAGCATTTGGTCCTACTCTTTTGCCTCCTGTAATTGTAAGTCTCCTGCAAGATGCGTCTACTTTCATACTTTGACTTTTCTCATTTGTCCCCCTATGCAATTGTGCTCTTTCTTTTTTTCTTCCTTGGAAACTCGCCCTGGTTTCATAATTTTGCTTCTTTCTCTTTGGCTCTTCTGTTCTCAACAGAATTGTGGCTTCATCCACTTGGGCCTCTTGCTCTGCTTCTGGTCTTACCCACAACTTAACCTCATTTATTCCAGTGATTGAATGAAAATATAAATATGAATATGAATATAAATATATCCCAAGATTTTTTTTGTCTCTTAGGTTTTCTTTCTATGAGGCCTTAGGCACACAGATGATGCTTGCAAAGTTATAGTTCCTAAATTACATGGTATTGATAGAAATTGCATTACATAAAGTTTACATTTTACCATGAGGAAATAACTATGCCATTATTCTTAGTTTCTATTCCAAAGACATTTTCTCCTTACCTTGATACTTATGCAGATGAAGAAACTTTAGCATCCCCTTGTTGAGTTGGGTATAGCTCATTTATCCTTAATGAGATAAAGGTTTAGAGCAGCAGGTGGGTGCCAACAAAGAGAATTTATTATAAAAGGGAAAATCTGCAATTGTGTACAGGTAGTAGAGATAAGACTAAGGGAATAGAACTGAGAAAATTTCCATGTGAAGTTCTCAGCTGTTGTTAAGTAGTTGATCAGAGGGGTGTGGGCCTGAAAATATACCTGCAAAATGCTAAATAATAGGTAATGTCAAAGTGTAGTTCCATGTAGGGGCTGTTACAGCAATGTTGTTGTGAAATACTGTGAAGAAACTATATAATAATTTTTAAGTGAAATATAAATAGTATTTTATTTCCCAAACTGAACATTATTTACCAAGTTATGGAACATAACTGCTAAGTTGTTTATAACTGGACAAATATTTGGAAATTGTATAACAACATTACTAATTTGCATTGAAATAATATTGTATGTCATATTAAATTAGTGAATAG